CCCCAAAGAGCCTAAAGAACTTCCACTAGGCCCTACCTCTTAAAGCTCTCGCTGTCTCCCAGGGGGATTGCTGGGAACTAAATATTTAACACATTGTTGTATTGGTCCCCATAATAAAGCCCAGCTGTAGCATCCAGCCAGCTCCGAGCCTCATTCATCAGACTGAATAGAATTTAAGTGAGTGTTTATTTTTCCACACTGCTGCCTTTTTCAGTTGGGTTATAGAATTAGGTTATCCACCATACCTGGTTATGAAGATTCTGTCCCAGGGTAGCAGCTGCCGATTGGTTCTAGATGCGAATCATTTTATTAACATGCAGTCATTGCATAAAATAATAGATTTCGTTATGATGTTTTCACAGATGCAGTTTACGCACGCTGATCTTATTAACCCTTTCATTACCCTATACTGCTGTTCCTTTATCCTTCCTAATGTTTTCTTGCTCTGCTAAATTGTCCCTTTTTGGCTTTTATACCTTAAAAAAAAAAAAGGTCTAGACTCTGCATATGACTGAAAACATGTGATGATTACCTTTTTGAATCTGACTTCTTTTGCTTAACATGATGCTCTCCAGACCCATGCACTTTCCTGCAGACGACATCATTGTGTTCTTCTTTGTGGCTGAATAAAATGCTGCTGTGTACATATACCACAGGCCCTTTACCCATTCATCTGTGCATGGATGTCTAGGCTGCTTCTATAGTTTGCTCTTGTCAATGGTGCTGCAAAGGCTATGCGTTTATCTCTATGGTTCGCCCACTCAGAATCCCTCAGGTACATAGCCAGGCATAGTGGGTTCATGTGGTAGTTCCACTTTTGTTTTTTTTGTTAGCGTCTCCATACTCATTTCTATAGTGGCTGTGCTAATTTACATTCTCACCGGTGATATATAGTGTTCCCTTTCCACCATTTGTTGCAGTTTGTTTTCTTGATGGTTTTCTTTCTGACATGGGTGAGCTTTAACCTCAGTGCAGTATCGATCTGTGTTTCCCCGATGGCTATAGGGGTTGAACATTTTTTTCAGGTATTTCCTGGCCTTTAATTTCAATTTGTTTTTGAGAACTGTTTTCTTTTAGTGGCTTCTTCACACTTAAAAGGAACAATGACACTTGATGTTTCTTCCCACACAGCTCTGTAGGTCCCCGAGCCTCTGTGACTCTTAGGATGACAAGGCACCTAAGTAAGGACCTAGTGACTTCTGGGGAAACAGGAAAAAGGGGAAATGTGCTGAGCCGGCTTAACTAGAAAGTCACCATGCTCCTGGTCCAGCCAGACGGAGTGCTGGGCTCATAATGGGCTCCATATTTGAGTCAGCAGAGGATGATAAGTGGGCCTGATAGGTCCTCAGCCTGTGATTGAGACTAGTGATTGCTCCAGTGCAATTGGGAGACAGGGATTGGTGGAGGGAAAGACATTCATAGCAGAAGCAGAGGCGTGAGGTGTCTGGCTCTGACAGTCCTTTCTCAGGAGCCTGCTGGTGAGAGTGAAGCCAGTCCCTGTTCTTTATAGAAGCCTGAGTCACTGTTGTTGCCTTTAATACAGGCTGGAGGTGAGTCAGCATGGGAGGAGCAGGCAGGATGAGGAGGTGAGGAGACGGTGACAGGCTGTGAGCATCTGTCAGCAGCTGTGGCATTTGCTTATTTCTGAGCCGGACAGTGTTTATGAGCAGCCAGAGTGTCCCCTGCAGAGAAAGGGACTGAGCCAGACAGCTTTAGAGATAACACCTTGGGTTTGTTTGTTTGTTTTGTTTTGTTTTACCAGCTGGTCCCATTGTCCAAGGAAAGAATTATTATTTTGCCAAAGAGAATATAACTTAGGAGCTGGAGACACAAAGTACCTTCTAGACAGAAGGAAAGGGTTCTGTTTGTTGTTTTGCAACAGGGTCAGCTCATGTGAGGAGAATACAGGCTTTTCCTCCTTGGCTATGTCTGGAATTAATCAGAGTTAGACTGCTGGGTACAAAAGAGAAATGAAACATGCAGTCCTTGAATACTGAACACCACAGGTCCTAATGGCTGTGGTCTTCTAGAGAGAGAGAGGTCTGGACATGTCCGCATTGGTACAGCGTGCCATTGTTAACAGCAAAGGGTGCGGTTCAGCAAACAGTTATGAACTGGCAGCTATAACCAGGCTCGTGTTAATGTCTCTGATGTGAGTAAGACTAAGACTCTGATATATTCATACATTTCCTCCCACAACTCTTCATTCCTCTCCCTTTTTCAGCCCTCTTACCCCCTCCTTCATTATTTCTCCTTTCTGGTGATTTTAATGATTGGCAGTTCATATCATAATTTCTTAGCCGAATAATCTCTTAGGACATCATTGTAATCTCTGAAAGAATAAACAATCTTTATATCTAAGTTTTATCTATTTTATAAAAGAACAAAACCTAAGGCTGCTAAGCCTTAAGTAAATGTTTCTAAGAAGCTAGTTTCTCTGAAGATATCATCATCCTCAGATGTTTTTCTGAGCTAACATTTGCAGGCTGGAGTTTTATATCTGGGTACACACTCCTCTCTGTGGCTCTTGAGTGAGTTTAGAACCTATCAAAGCCTCCTTCCCAAGGAAGATGGCATTCTCAAACTGTGCCCACTTCCCCTCTTCTTCCTCTCAGCTTTAGTGAGTAACCTTATCACTGGGGTTGTTGAATGTGGCCCCAGGCCCCAACATGTTCAAGGTCTAACCTCTTTTATATGTGCTCTTATTTGGAACGATAATTCAAGGGGTCAATTAAGACCAGGTTATACCAGAAAACAGTGGGCCCTCAGCCAGTGCCTGACAGTTGCATGAGGAGAGAAAAACTGTAAACAAACACCTGACCAAAAGCAGGTAAAGGGAGGAACAATTTATTTTAGCTCACACCTCAGAGGCATACAGTCTGTCATGGTGGGGAAAGCACAGTATCGAGAGAGGCTAGTTTGTGTCAGAGAAAGGAGAATGCCAACTCTCTAATGCAGTGGTTCTCAACCTTCCTAATCCCGTGACCCTTTAATATGGTTCCTCGTGTTGTGGTGACTCACACCATAAAATTATTTTCATTGCTACTTCATAACGGTAACTTTGCTACTGCTCTGAATTGTAATGTAAGTATCTGCTATGCAACTCCTGTGAAAGGGTCATTTGACCCCCAAAGGGGTCACGACCCACATGTTGAGCAACACTGCTCTAAAGGCTTTCTTCTTTTTTTTTCTTTTCATTTAGTCTAGGACCTAGGAAAGTGTGTGGGATTCACCTAATCTGAAGCCTAGCTAGGCAAGCTGTTGTATAACTAGAGCCTAAAATCCAGGGCAAAAGAACCTATGTTCCAACTCAAAGAGCTGGGCAGACAGCAAATCTGAGCTGGTGTGAAGAGGGTTGTGGAGATTGATGCACAAACCAAGGACCATGCATGGAGAGCATCTAGGCCTCCTGCTCAGATGTAGCCAATAAGCAGCTCAGTCTCTATGTGGATCCCTGAGTAAGGGGACTAGGGACAGGCAGTCTGAAGAGATTTGATAGTCTATGGCCAGTTGGTAAGGGAGGAGGGCTCCCACTTTCTGAAGGCCAGATAAGGAGTATAGGGGGAAGAGGGAGGGAAGGTGGGACCAGAAGGAGTTGAGGGAGGGGGCTACGATCAGGACGTAAAGTGACTGTACTAAAATTAAAAAATGCTGGACAGAAAAAGAGAATTTCCACCATCTCTGCCTTTTATTTTCCTTGGTCCCTAGGCCAGTTGGATGTCACTAGTCATCATGGCTGGGGTTGGGACCTGGGGTGTGTGTGATCTCTTTGCTCAGCCTACTAATTCAAATACCGATATTTTCTGGAAACATTTCAACAGAAATATCCAGAACGCTGTTTAACATATTTGATTTCCTCTTGGTCTATTCAAAATGACACATAAAATTAATGACCGTAATTGTCACTTAGTGTGGCAGTAAAGAATTTAGATCCCGGAGTCAGAGACAGGCTTGGACTTCATCCCTGCTGCTTACATGCAGTGTGGCTGTAATTAAAATCACTTAACTCAGAGTTGGCTCACCTCTGAGATGGAAATGAAAAGAAAACTACCGTAGAACCTGCTGCGCAGATGAAAGGTGACAGCGAGGGACAATGGGAGCCTAGAAGAGCTGGAAGCTATCTTAGACTCCATCTCATCCTGCACAGACACTGTAGCTAAACAGTGGAGACACGTTCTGAGAATAGCAGGTTTGCCACAAACACACATCCTAAAGGGACATGCCCAAACCTGGACAGGTCAGTTATCCACGTGGTCTCTGGGTGCAGCCAAGAAGCACGGCAATCCCGTGATGTGAGGCTCTTTGCAAAGCTTACCACTGCCTCGCTTTCTAAATAGAAGGTGGATACCCAGAAATGATAAGCAGTACAGAAGCCCTCATCCAGTGCTTGGTGTACATGCTGCACCTTCCGGCATCTGGGAGAGCAGCAGGTATGCTTACACCAGAAGACTATAGACATGTGACCCGTGCACAGTTCAGTGTCCGGGCAGTGGGAGTTTTCCAGCTCTTTTGCCGTCTTCAGGGACAGCCTCTGCACACGTGGTCTGCCATTGCCTAGATCATCCTTCTGCAGCCTGCAACCGATTCTGGAGGAAAATAAAACAGGAGGGCAAGAGGACTGACTTAGGTGATGGCACCCATGTATATTGCCCATGGGTGGATTTGCTAGGAAGAGCCTGGAATTTGGATCCAGGTGCTGGCTGGTTGCTGATGCCCTAGACAATGTCTTGTGTGGATGTGAGTTTGCTGAGGCCCTGGCCCTTATTCTCAGATTGCTCTGTTTGTATTTACCTAATGGGGGCATTCATGCCGTTCTCCCTTTTCCCACGAATTTATCCTGCTTCCCATTTCTCCCACATCCACTCTCCCACCCTTCCACACAATGCCCACCCCACACTCCCCATCACTAAAAAAAAAAAAAAAGAAGAAGAAGAAAGAAAAAGAAAAGAAAAACCGCGCTTTGCAGATGCTGCTGTCCCTTGTCATCTATTGCTGCAGCCATGGTCAACCCCACTGTGTTCTTCAACATCGAGGCCGATGGCCAGCCCTTGGGCCACATCTTCTTTGAGCTGTTTGCAGACAAAGTTCCAAAGACAGCAGAAAACTTTCGTGCTCTGAGCACTGGAGAGAAGGGATTTGGATATAAGGGTTCCTCCTGTCACAGAATTATTCCAGGATTCATGTGCCAGGGTGGTGACTTCACACGCCATAATGTCGCTGGTGGCACGTCCATCTACGGGGAGAAATTTGAAGATGAGAACTTCAAACTGAAGCATACAGGTCCTGGCATCTTGTCCATGGCAAATGCTGGACCAAACACAAATGGTTCCCAGTTTTCTATCTGCACTGCCAAGACTGAGGGGCTGGTTGGCAAGCATGTGGTTTTTGGGAAGGTGAAAGACGGCATGAACATTGTGGAAGCCATGGAGCGTTTTGGGTCCAGGAATGGCAAGACCAGCAAGAAAAATCACAATTTCTGACTGTGGACGACTCTAAACTAATTCTTTTGACTTGCGGGCATCTTACCCAGCAGACCATTCCTTCTGTAGCTCAGGAGAGTACCCCAATCTCATCTGTTCACAGTACCCTGTGATCTCTGCTCTCGCTGAAGTTCTTTGGGTTCCATATTTTCCTTACTCCCCTCCAAGTCTAGTTGGATTGCAGAGTTAAGTTTATGATTATGAATAAAAAGTAAACAAGAAAAAAGAAAAAGAAAAGAAAAACCCTCCCAGTCCCATTTTGTTGCCCATATAATCATTGGAGCAAGGTCAAACTCCCAGTGGCCAGCTTCTTAAAGAAGCCGGCAGCTCCTCCTCCTCCAACATACACACCCGAAAAGCTACACTTCTGCATCTTTATCACAATTTTCAAGGACTCTCTTCAATAGCTTCATATATCTTCATATATGAACTGTTTCTTCCCTTTTTGGGGGTGGGGGGAGGTTGTCTCTCATTTTCAGTCACGAGTCTGCAGTCATCAACAGCACTGCAAAAGAAGCTTCCCTGCCCATAGCTGCCAGCGGTGGCGGCAGGGCTCAAGGACATTAACGTGGGTTCCGGCAACATCGTGAATCATGGGAGTCTTTTGAGGAGACTTCACCCAGAATATGAACCATCCTTCATCTTGACTATCTTGTTCGGAGTCGGAGTGATCGTGTAGCTGGGTAGCATGTTTGGAGGTAGGGCCTGTGCGAGCTCCAGGCTGCTTCACACCACCTCACCCTTAGCGGCGCTGGCCCTCCTCTGAGCACAACCGCTGCATTTGCAGCTCGCTGGCTCATATCTGTCTCCACAGCCACATCTCCAGTTCTGCTTCTCTCTGTTGCGCTCACTGCACTATTCCTCCATCTTCTCCCCGCCCCTCGGGTGTGGAGGAATTTTAAAAACTTAGCTGGGCAAGTTCCATGGGAAACTTGCTACCACCAACAGTCACCACACCTTACTCGTCCTGAAAGCCTCTTAAGCCCCGTGTCTCACACATGTCTGTTGTTACACAGCCTGGGATGAAGTCATCAGTCCTCTTCTTTGGGTTAAACATGAAGAGATGGGTGCAGAAGTGACCCTCAATACTGCAATAGAGGGATCACTCCAAACACCCAATTCCAAGCCTGTCACCTCACCCTGAATATGGCATGAGTTTCTTGGGGGGGGAGGGGAGGCACCCATCCACGGCATCCCACATCGTCAATAGCACGTCTCAGGCAGAGAATGAGAGGGTTCCACATGGCTGCATAAATGTCATAGATGTGACAGTGTCCTGGCTGGCAGCTACTCTGGGTGCACAATGGCTTCCAAAGAAATTGCTCTGATGACTTGAAACTCAAGCTCAACCTCAGTGTCTTTGCAGCCATATCTTCTACTCAGGCATGCTCATGTGCTGTTGTATGAGCCATACTGTGAGGTGGTAGAGAGCAAAGACTTGGCTTGGTAGCATTCTCAGCCTTTACTATTCTATTTTGACTTTGAGAAGTGCTTAATTACATATTTGTTGAGCTGACTTGAATCAGTTCGTTCATATGCACCGGGTAATGGCTTGATAGTATTGAGCATATTCTAAATGAATTTCAAAGGCAATCCAAAGAAGATTAAAACAAAGAACATTGTTGAAACCAGGGAGAGAGAGAGATCATATACTATCCTATAGTTCATTAATTTCTATATTTTTACTTTTAGCTATTATTATTACTGTGCCTAATTTATAAATTAAACTTCATCTTAGGTGTGTGTGTATAGGAAAGGAACATTATATGTAAGGTTTGAGATTATCTGTGATTTCAGGCATCCACTGGGGGCTTGGAAAGCATCCTCATGTGTAAGTGGGGGATAAGAGAATATCAACTTATTTCATTGTTTAAAAGGCTATTAAATAGCAATGCATTGGACATCCTGGGAGACTATGTATGGGACACAAAAGACACCAAAGAAGCCAAAGGTATTGCCTATAATTGTTAAATTAAAGGTCTATCTGGAGAGAGAAGCACAGAATTAAGAGTGAGTGGGTGAGGAGGCCATAGCAAGGTGGGATGTGTTAGTGAAAGGGATGTTCTCAAAGGCAAGGATGTTAGGTGGGAACCACAGGACCAGGATAACTGAGTAGGTGTATCAGTCTGGCATGGGGCCTAATACTGCATCACCTGCAAAGGAAGTAGCACAAGGAAAGGACCCGGGGAAGAGAGCAAGGCAACTAGAGATCCACAAGGAACACCAGCCCTCCTCTTTGGAGCACCCTGCACTTGTAGATTCAATCAACTGTTGAAAATATTTTGGAGAAATTGCACCGTATTGTTTGGTTTTAGATAGTTTAATTTATATTTGGTACCAGGAACTGAGCCTAGAGTATCTTGCTTGGTAGGCGCTGACTTATATACCTAGTCTAGAAAACTGCATCTATGCCAAATAGGCACAGACTGTTTTCTTCATCTTTCCCTCGACAGTGCAGTTTAACAACAACTGATGGCAGCATTTAGCATTTACACCGCATTAGGAATAAGTCATGTAATCATGGTTCACAGGAGAATGTGTGTAGGATCTATGGAGATATAATAGCATTTCACATAAGAGCTTCTGTGTCCTCAGGTTTTAGCATCCATGAGGATTCTAGATCCAGTCTCCTCTGGATACTGCATGGTAGCTATAATTTATTAGACTAGAATGATTAAAATTGAGGATGGAGGAAGGGGTAACTGACCAGCAAAGCGGGGTAGGAGCCTGCACTGAAGGCCTTAGTAGTGATAAAAATGAGAGGTATGGATTTTGTCTCCTCTATAATACACCCTGCCATTTTCATCATGGGCCCGTTCTACACGTCCTCCAAATCAGGGGTTCATTCTAAACCATAGACAATTACCTTAGAGTTGGAGACAGTCAAGCTTCTGTAGTATTCATAAAATGACAAAGCAAGCGGTGGATATGGGAGCACACCACTGTAATTCCAGTAGTAGACAGGAGTATCCACATTTGAGATCAGTCTGGGATACGTAACGGGATCCTGTATGAAAAGCTGGGGTGGAGAACTTGCTTATCATGGACAAGGCCTGGGTTTAACCCTCAGCACACAGAAAACAAACAAACAAAAGCCTCCAAACTAGGAAAATATTTTCTACATATTTAAGTTATGAGGGTCCAGCATCCAAAGGATAGAAAGAATCGTTTGTAACCAAATATCTCAGTAATAAAAAGGTGCCGGAGAGATGGTTCAGTGTTTAAGAATGCATACTGGCTTTTTTACAGAGGACCCCAGTTTGGTTCCTAGAAGTGCAAATAATCACATGCCAATAACTCCAACCATGAGATCCAAAACCTTCTTCTGATCTCTGTGGGCACTTGTACAAGCATATACACACCCCTTAAATATAATTAAAATTTATTTTTAATCAAGCGTCTTGCTTAGTTTATGTCTGCTCTCTCTATGACAGCCCAGCCAAGCAGAGCTCTGGAAACACCATCCTGAAGCTACTGCCATAGCAGGGTCTCAATTTGGTTCCAGCCTCAGCCCATACAGAATCTTTCTTGTCTCATTCTCTTCATCTGTGTAGAGCAGTGGTTCTCAACCTTCCCGATGCTGCGACCCTTAACACCCTTTAATGACTCCCAATCATAAAATTATTTTTGCTGCTGCTTCGTAACTGTAATTTTGCTCCTGTTGTGAACTGTAATGTCAATGTCTGTGTTTTCCAATGGGCTCATGTAACCCCTGTGAAAGTGTGACCCAAAGGTTGGAAACTGGTGATAGAGAGAACTATCTTAGTTTCTGAATATATATAAAAGACTTAACCTCTAACCTCAAGCAAATACTTTCTGGAATACCCTAGGAAAAAAATCCCTATTCATCCTTCAATACCCAATGAAAATGTTCCCCTCTGTGGCTCATTAAATGTGGTCCATCTGCTGTGCTTTTGTTGCACGCCCAACAAAACTCTCCCCTCTTAGGATACCAGCCCCACTATGCTGTAACCCTTACATAGTACTCATTATCTATCCTGTCTGTCAAGAGTGAGTGCCTAAGGGTAGGGATAACGTTTTTTTCACCTTTGTGGCAGGATGTTGCCTGACCTTTGAAGAGTGAGTGGATGACTGTCCTCTCCCATGCAAATGAGCATCCTCATATGCTTCCAGTGTTTTTAGAAGAGACCAGGCAATCTGTGAGGTGATGAGTGTCCAGGAAGAGACTATGAAGGGTGGCAGCATGGTTGACTTTCACTAACTGTTCACTTTCCTCCCCACCATTGAGATCTCATAAACTGCTAAACACGCTTTGCAAGAGAGGAGGAGGAATATTTTCAGCCTTTTTTTTTTTTTTCAATTTCTCGATCCCATAGTCTTTGAGGAAGTTTCTGAGGCACACAACTCAATGTGTAGAGTTCAATTACTTCATAAGCCCAGAGTGATCCTAGACCACAATTCCAGTGGTTCTGAGGGAGAGAGGGAAGCAGGTGGTCGCTTGTCTGTGAGCTGGGTTGAAAGAAGGCCCAGCAGCCTTGAATCCTGTTGATGCCTCGAAGCCATCATCACTGTTATCAAATGGGTCATTTATTAACTGACTGTTCCCAATGGTGATAAACTCAGTCTCCTCAGTGGGGTGTGGTACAGGAAGAGGGAACCCTTGACACTTAGGTAACTTGACAGTGACAACTAATGGAAACTACTGGACGAACGGACGAACTAAGACCTAAAGGAGGTCTCAAGTGAGACCACATGTGCCACTGGATGAGGAGGGACATGATGGAGGAACATGCTGAAGGCCTTCATCAGACAGCACATGGGCTGGAGCATTTGAGAAGAAATGCAGTTTCAGAGACACGTGGCAGGGAAAATGTAGGGTCCAGGCTGTTTTCTGCAGTGGCTTTGATTGCTCGCTGCATACCTTTGCAGAGACCACTTCCTTAGCGGACACTGCTATATGACAGTGCACTGCCTGCAGAATGAGCTGTCACTCTGGGCTTCTGATGGCTTCATGGAGGGAGTTTTCCCTGTCCTGGCAGAGAAATCTGTGTTTGGTTGGGGACATGTGTAGGCTAGTGGCTGCTACCACACTTGAAACCA